GTGTGAAACTATGACTAGAAAACTTTATCAATCAAGAAAACAAGATATAAAATCTTCAACCGGGAACCGAATCCCAATTAGCAGGAAAGACTTAGACCAGTAGAACGAATGAAATTCAAGCAATACAAATATCGATAATGGTTAATTTCATTAAAATGTTATAAATATAAATAAAAGGTATATCAGCATCAATATAGTGAGATTCTTCGAAACAGCTTCTATTCATAAGTACTGTTTTACCTTGTCATGGCAGTCACTTAAGCGCTCGCGAGAGGGTTCTGGAGTCAGGTAAAGCTTCGGGAATATCGTAGCATCATGCTGAGTGGTGAGAGCACAGGGACTTTGGAGACGCTTCAACTGGTGGACCATCATATAGCATCGCTTAGCGTCAAGATCATTTGCGATTAGAATCCCCGGTGGTTCTAATTGGTTGATCAAGACACCGTTACAGGTTTGGTCCGGTTGAGCAGCTGAGTCAGCGTGCATTAGTTCCACAATCTGAGCTGATTTGGAACCGGGTGCTGCGCAAAGATCGAGGACGGCGTGATGAGCACGAATGTCCATCACAAGAGGTGGCAGCATACTTACAGCTTCCTGTCGGCTGATGTTGCCTGAGGATAAAGGGTGATAAAAAATGAAAAAGTACAGACGAGTTTTTTCTTCAAAAGAATGCGTTCAAATGGTATTTACACAAAGTTTTTGAGCAAAAAAATACACACACAAAAATATAAAAGCATCATTAAAATAAAGGGGTCGTCTAAGATTGAAGTCGCTTATCTATAATAGGGCAGAATAACAGGTCAATCGGTTAGAAGAGGACATTTCAATGTGATATTCTTAAAAAGTTATTGTAATAAAAAATAATCTGGAATTTGAAGGGTGAAAATAAATGTGACTTTCATAACAAGTCAGGCATTTTAGAAGTTATACCTACTGTTGGTCAGGCGTCGATAAGGGGGATATATTTGCCATTACAAGAGACCTCGTTATTGAATATGAAGTAGGTAATTCTATCATAAAGCATTATCACAGAAAAAACATGGCATATATAATTGTAAAGCAGAATATATACATTCAGCGAACATAGTTTACATGGAAAAACTGAGTAAGTAAACGACACTTATCGACTATGCATTACCTCAGCGACGCTTTGCACTTCTTTTCTGGATAGGGTTGGCGTAGTCTTATGCTACAGCTTAGATTTCTTAATTAAATGGTGGATTTGATTTATTAATAGGATGTCCAGTATATATGATGTACGGACAGATATAAAAAGGCTCATCTACACTCAATTACCCCTTCAGGATACATAAATTACACATTAGGTGACAACCTGGGTAACCCAACATCTGCCCACACGTAGATGTGACCAAATCAGCCAGCCAAAACACTAGATATTTAATAACGAACAAGATGTTAGCTGGATCCCAACCGGCTATCAATATTGGCTTGAAGAAAGGAGACTGACCAAAATAGAGGTCTCGATATGCTGATATTCATAGTTAGGCGTAAATAATTTTGATAAAACAGCTAAATCCGACTCTAAATTGGGGAAGGACGTCGATTGTTACGAGTATGCCCAGTGCAAATATATAATTCTCTTAAGCCGAACTGAATAGTTCAAGCCTTGTCCCCAAACGCATC